TGGGGGGTATTCCTAGTTATGCGTGTAATCATTAATACAAATTTCATTATGAATCCTTCACCTCCTACCAGGTACAGTACCTATTAATATTCCTGGGCGAAGAGAGGTAAATGCAGAAAAAGTGTCGTTTCCCAAGGAAAGCAGTGTGACTAGCATTGGTCTTGAACCCACGACCTTCTGATTGAAAGCCTAAAACCTTAAACACTGCGCAAAACGCATTATAGTTTTTTTTATGTTAATTATATGTAAAGATACACTGTTTGTATTCAGATTAAAAGAAATGTTGGAAAAGAAATTTAATGATTTAAATTGTTTAGTTTCATTAACTCTGTAACCACAGAAAAAGAGTACATGTAATGATTTTTTTCCTATATTACCTTCAAAAAGCCTTGACAGTATTTTGCAAAATAGAAATATTGTTGCTGTTAATAACAACTAAAATTTGTAAAATCAAAAACCTAGGCATTAACCACACTTTACAGATTCATTAATGGCAACATAAACATCTGAAAATGATATTACTCTAGATCCATATACTGTAGTCACAAATCCTAGATAAAAAATACTACACTATCATTATAGTTCAAAAGACCTTCAGCCAATCAGAGCAGGTCTGTCATCAGTATATAACTCTTTGTCAAGATGATTAAAATCAAATCATATAAGATTAGTGATCAATAGATTTTTACTCAGTGATAACTTTTACTAATCTGTGGATCAATTTCTATTGCATGTTGTCAAATTGTGGATAGAAAAACCATGTGTGTTTTATGTGGTGGATTATAGGCGTATGTTTAGAAAGAGTTTAAATTATTTTTACAGCCAGTGCACTTAGTAACTATTACATTAGATTATTGTCACTATTATTGTTATTATAATTATTATAATAATAAAAATAATAATTAAAAATATAAAGATGAATTTTATTGACATTTTAACAAAACATTAAAATAATTCTATTGTTTCTTTTGAAAGTTCTAAAAAAATATGAAAAAAACCCAAATAGTATTGTATTGGGAGTATTAGGTTTGAATGCATTGGTGGATAACAGTATAATGGTAATTCCAATTAAAGGAGAGAATGGTTAATATACAAAAATATAATGAAAAAAACAATAACAATAATAATCATGTTACAATAACAATAATAATGTTGAGAGCAGCTTAGCTCAGTCTCCTGATCTGGTAGTAGTCACTGTGTGTGCGCTGAACCGTGGAGATCTCTTGGACCCTGGTTCTATTCCCATCGCTGTTCTCCTTGTGTTTCAGCTGGAGGGCTGAAATACAAGTTACAATAATGCACCGTCTTTCGGACGAGACGTTTAAGCCGTTGGTCCCTTGTGCAATGACTCATGTGCATGTTAAAGAACGCAGTACACTCTTCTGAAGAGTAAGGGATTGTCTGCCGGTGTACTGCCCAATCACCACCAGAAGGATCCCGAAACAAGTCTCCAGACTTCCTGGGCTATCCTTGGTGTGATTCACACTGAAATACGTATTTATGTTTATGTAATGTAAATCTACTTGCAATCTACATGACCATATACAGGCACATCGTAACTATATATGAGCATACAACTGCTTTTGTCGAATATACTGTAGCATGATTTACACACATTAGTTCACTTGCTTACAAAAACTTTGGCTTTAAGGCATGATATATGATATGATACAAGCAATCTGCTTTGGATCTTGACGCAATGTTCATAAAACATCGCCCTCTGCAGCAAAATGTGTGGTGCACGTATAGGTTGAATCTGGAACCTGCAGACATTATTGGGTATGTAAAATGTAAGTATAGCCCAGTGTCCTAAAAATGGCTTATATTATTTCTTGACGCGACCAAGCTGCAACACATAGTGTGGGGTGATAGTTTGAGACTGAAGTTTCACCATTACATATATGCAGTCAAAGTTTATGGGCTGACAGGGGCGGATCCAGAGATGCCGAAAGTGGGGCCAATTGAGACAAAACTACCCTAGGGGGGTCTGGGGGCATGCCCCGACAACATTTTTGTTTTCTAGATGCCCAAATATTTTGGGAAATTTATGATTTCTTTTTATTACTTCTTTTTTACTTTCCAAAAGGGGAGGGGGACTAGAGCCAACATGCTCCCCCCATCCCAACCCCTAAATCCACCCCTGGCTGAATTTTGCGATAATTTTATTTTTTGCAACGTCACTATATTATGACAATGATACATTAGGCATTTTCCAGCAATTGTAGTTGCTTGTTGGTGATCCGCTACACTAGCGGATCACCTCTTGTTATTGTCAGAGATCTTCTTTTTTTTCCCCCATTTCTTGTTAGCACGATATCTAAAAATTGGCACGAGATTCATACATGCACGCTTCAACAAACATTTAGCTTGGCCTGGAATAGTCACAATAAGGTTTTCAAAGTG